GATATGTATAGATATGAACCTGATCTGTCTGTCTGTCTGTCTGTCTATCTATCTATTATCTGGACCTGATGTGGATGTAGATAGTTATATGTACATATGGACCTGATCTATCTATCTATCTCTCTATCTGTCTGTCTGTCTGGACCTGATACAGATATGTATAGATATGAACCTGATCTGTCTGTCTGTCTATCTATCTATCTGTCTGTCTGTCTGTCTGCCTGTCTGGACCTGATACAGCTATGTATAGATATGAACCTGATCTGTCTGTCTGTCTGTCTATCTATCTATCTATCTATCTATCTATCTATCTATCTATCTATCTATCTATCTATCTATTCATCCATCCATCTATTGATCATCTCTATGTATTCAGCTGTCTATCTATCTATCTATCTATCTATCTATGTATCTATCTATCTATCTATCTACCTATCTATCTATCTATCTATCTATCTATCTATGACCTGATACAGATATGTATAGATATGAACCTGATCTGTCTGTCTGTCTGTCTGTCTATCTATCTATTATCTGGACCTGATGTGGATGTAGATAGTTATATGTACATATGGACCTGATCTATCTATCTATCTCTCTATCTGTCTGTCTGTCTGGACCTGATACAGATATGTATAGATATGAACCTGATCTGTCTGTCTGTCTATCTATCTATCTGTCTGTCTGTCTGTCTGCCTGTCTGGACCTGATACAGCTATGTATAGATATGAACCTGATCTGTCTGTCTGTCTGTCTATCTATCTATCTATCTATCTATCTATCTATCTATCTATCTATCTATCTGGACCTGATGTGGATGTAGATAGATATGTGTAGATATGGACCCTATCTATCTATCTATCTATCTATCTATCTATCTATCTATCTATCTGGAACTGATACAGATATGTATAGATATGAACCTGATCTGTCTGTCTGTCTATCTATCTATCTATCTATCTATCTATCTATCTATCTATCTATCTATCTGGACCTGATGTGGATGTAGATAGATATGTGTAGATATGGACCCTATCTATCTATCTATCTATCTATCTATCTATCTATCTATCTATCTATCTATCTGGACCTGATACAGATATGTATAGATAGGAACCTGATCTGTCTGTCTATCTATCTATCTATCTATCTATCTATCTATCTATCTATCTATCTATCTGGATCTGATGTGATGTAGATAAATATGTGTAGATATGGATCTTATCTATCTTACTATCTTTCTATTTTTCTATCTATCCTCTGTGCTTTGTGACATGAAACCCATGCCACTCATCAACTGCTGTCCAAACAGAAGGAAAGGACGCAACCTTTCCACATTTCTCCGAATACAAAGAGGAATGTATTATGTTATCTTTTGCATAAGGTTTTCTTGGGAAATGGGAAACAATGAGCTAAAGTCCTGACCTTTGTTCATAGAGCATGGCTTTTTGTTTTGGGAGGAAGTCAATGCAGCCTCTCCTCCCTTCATCTTTGCAAACAACCCACAAAGCGTCAACGCCTTCCAGACTCCCCATCATGGGGGCCTTGGTCAAAGATGCCAAGAAAGCCCAAAATGTGAAGGGCTTGGTATGGAAAGAGAAGACCTTCAGCTACATCTGTTAGAATCATAGAATCCTAGAGTTGGAAGAAACCTCATGGGCCATCCAGTCCAACCCCCTGGCAAGAAGCAGGAAAATTGCATTCAAAGCACCCCTGACAGATGGCCATCCAGCCTCTGTTTAAAAGCTTCCAAAGAAGGAGCCTCTACCACACTCCAGGGGCAGAGAGTTCCACTGCTGAACAGCTCTCACAGTCAGGAAGTTCTTCCTCATGTTCAGATGGAATCTCATTTCTTGTAGTTTGAAGCCATTGTTCCTCATCCTAGTCTCCAGGGCAGCAGAAAACAAGCTTGCTCCCTCCTCCCTGTGACTTCCTCCCACATATTTATACATGGCTATCATGTCTCTTCTCAGTCTTCTCTCCTCCAGGCTAAACATGACCGGCTCTTCAAGCCGCACCTCATAGGGCTTGTTCTCCAGACCCTTGATCATTTTAGTTGCCCTCCTCTGGACACATTCCTAATTCTTGCTTTGGAGACTTATAGTTCCCATGGTTTCCTTTAAGACCGTCAAGTCAACTTAATGGCTGTCATGGGGTTCCCTGAGGCTTTGAGTTCTGAATCTTCTCTGCTTCATGAGTATCCCGCTTTTCCATTTGCCGTTCCGCTCGGAACAGCTGGCATGAACTTCCTGCGAATTAATGTAGCAGGAAACAGGCTTTGCAAGGCTCTTCTCCTGCTTCTGTTGTGGTCGCATTTTTCCGCCGTTGTGCTTTGGATTATCTTTCCTTTTTCTGTGTGTGGCCCATTGGGATGCAGGCAGCTTCTGGTCTGCAAATGTGTTCACATTCTCAGTTCCAAATTTGCAAAATGCCTGGAGCTTTGTCATTGCCAGGATTGCAATTTGGTCCAAAAGTTGCACAAGTCTTGATTACGATTTGTTGTTCAAGTTCATGACATCTAAAGTAAGTTTAAACCCACTAAGGGTGTATCTCTGCTGCAGAATTAATACAGATCAATACCATTTGATCAGCAATGGCTCAATGCTACAGAACCCTGGGATTTGTTGTTTCACAAGATCTTTGGCCTTGTCTCCCAGGATGAGGATGATAATGATGATATTGAAATAATAATGTTACTTATGTACTTAGGTTATCCCTCATAACCTGAGGATGATGGTCCTCCAAGTGTAGTGTCTTGGTGGAGGCAGCACTGATGGAATCGTTCCAGGAGTTGCATTTGACGTCTGTAGACAGTCCACGTTTCGCAGGCATATAGCAGGGTTGGGAGGACAATAGCTTTATAAACAAGCACCTTGGTATCCCTACGGATGTCCCGGTCCTCAAAAACTCTCTGCTTCATTCGGAAAATGCTGCACTTGCAGAGCTCAGGCGGTGTTGTTGACTTTGGTGGAGAGGTGGCTGCCAAGGTAGCGGAAATGGTCAACATTTTCTAATGTACCATTATGCTGTATCTCTGGCATTGGAGAAGGATTGGCCGGTGACTGCTGGAAGAGCACTTCGGTTTTATCAATGTTCAATGACAGGTTGAGCTTCTCGTATGCTTCTGCAAAGAAGTTTATAGTGGCTTCTGAATGAGCACAGACTATGTTACCATCAGCATATTGAAGTTCTATAACATGTTGTAGGTCTTCTTCTGAATGCGCACAGACTATGTTATCATCAGCATATTGGAATTCCATAACAGATGTTGGATATCTTCTGAATGAACATGGACTATGTTATCATCAGCATATTGGAGTTTAACAGATTTTGTATATCTTCTGAATGCGCACAGACTATGTTTTGTTCAGCATATTGGAATTCTATAACAGATGTTGTATATCTACTGAATGAGCACAGACTACGTTATCATCAGTATACTGTAGTTCTATAACAGATGTTGTAGAATGTAGATCTTCACAGACTATGTTATCATCAGCATATTGGAGTTCTATAACAGATGTGCATCTTCTGAACGAGCAAAGACTACATTATCATCAGTATATTGGAGTTCTATAACAGATGCTGTAGATCTGAATGAGCACAGACTACATTATCATCAGCATATTGGAGTTCTATAACAGATGTAGATCTTCTGAATGAGCACAGGCTATGTTATTATCAGCATATTGGAGTTCTATAATAGATGTTGTAGATCTTCTGAATGAGCACAGACTACATTATCATCAGCATATTGGAGTTGTATAACAGATGTTGTAGATCTTCTTCTGAATGAGCACAGACTGCATTATCATCAGCATACTGGAGTTCTATAACAGATGTTGTGACCTTGGTTTTAGGTTTTCAGTCTGCTGAGGTTAAACAGCTTGCCATCTGTCCAATAGATGGCAAGCTATTTAACATCCTGTGGCTCCTCCACAATGACATGATGGCAACAGTCTTGGACAGCAATGGCTCCCAAAGTGAACCAAAGTGGAATCAGGTGTCAAACAGGGATGGTGTGTTATTATTGGCCCCAACCTTATTTTCCATTTTAATGGTTTTGATACTTCATCTTGCTGATGGGAAGCTTCTCACCGGAGTGGAATAATAATAATAATAATAATAATAATAATAATAATAATAATAGTATTTCCACCTCTTGTGGCTCAAGTCTGGGTAACACAGGGTTAAAACAGAACAACAAAACACCACACTGGGAAAATACTTAAATACACACAAGACCACACCACTAAAATAAATAATAGAAAATAATATTAATACTAATAATAAAATAATAGAAAATAATAATATAAAATAAATAAAATAATAATAGTTTGGATTGAAATATATATTCTGATTAGCTGTACCTGCCACGCATTGCTGTGGCCACCCTTCCCTCCCTCTTTCTCTCCTTCCTTCCTCCCTTTTTCTCTCTTTCTTCCTTCTTCTTTTTCCTTCTCTACCTTTTTCTCCTCCTTTCTTTCTCTTTTCCATCCTTCTTTCTCTTTCCTTCCTTCCTTCCCTCCCTCTTTCTTCTTTTCCTTCTCTCATTCCTTCCCTCTTTCTTTCTTTCTTTTCCTTTTTTATTTTTCCTTCTCTCCTTCCCTCCTTATTCCTCTTTCCTCCTTTTTCTTCCCTCCCTTCTCCCCTTTTCTGTATATATGTGTTTTGTGAGTGTATATATATGCATATATGTCTGTATATATTTGTGTATATGTATATATGTGTGTGTTTGTGTATATATGTGGTTTTGTGCATGCCTTGTAATATATTTTTGATTTGTTGTCTTTTTAAGTACCTTTGGCTGTGTTTTTCACTGTTTTTATGAGTGATGATCACTTGTTGGCCTGATAGGTGTTTTGCGTCCAAATTTGGTGTCAATTCAGCCAGTGGTTTTTGAATTATGTTAATCCCACAAACGAAAAAATAACATTTTTATTTATATAGATTCTAAACTTTTTCACCTTACTTTCCATCCCTCCTTCTTTCCATTTTAGGTATCTTTTTAGCCGTGTGTCATGGCTTGGAGAACACAACGTCCACCTCCAATGGTAAGTTATTGATGTCGTAAAATGTAATATGAGACAATCCTTGTTGATCTCAACTTCTGCATTTCGCCCATTGATTTCTTTTTTGCCCCTTCTTTGGGTTGCCAAGTTTTGCATTAGCCCAGTTAGGACCAAATGGAGACCTGACATTTCCAGGGAAACCCCTGTAACCTAGCAACAAGCCCTTATGACATCATAGGGAAATCACCTTATGATGTCGTTGAGTAGGAGACACATGGAGTGTGCCGTTTAAATACAAACAACACCAAGTGACTTAGATGAAGGGTTAGAAGGCAGGATCATCAAGTTTGCAGACGACACCAAATTGGGAGGGAGAGCCAATACTCCAGAGGACAGGAGCAGGATTCAAAACGATCTTGACAGATTAGAGAGATGATGGCCAAAACTAACAAAATGAAGTTCAACAGGGACAAATGCAAGATACTCCACTTAGGCAGGAAAAACGAAATGCAAAGATATAGAATGGGGGATGCCTGGCTCGAGAGCAGTACGTGTGAAAAAGATCTTGGAGTCCAACAATGTGATGTGGCGGCAAAAAAAGCCAATGGGATTTTGGCCTGCATCAATAGGAGCATAGGGTCTAGGTCCAGGGAAGTCATGCTACCCCTCTATTCTGCTTTGGTTAGACCACACCTGGAATATTGTGTCCAATTCTGGGCACCACAATTCAAGAGAGATATTGACAAGCTGGAATGTGTCCAGAGGAGGGCGACTAAAATGATCAAGGGTCTGGAGAACAAGCCCTATGAGGAGCGGCTTAAGGAAGCTGGGCATGTTTAGCCTGAAGAAGAGAAGGCTGAGAGGAGATATGATAGCCATGTATAAATATGTGAGAGGAAGCCACAGGGAGGAGGGAGCAAGCTTGTTTTCTGCTTCTTGGAGACTAGGACGCAGAACAATGGCTTCAAACTACAAGAGAGGAGATTCCATCTGAACATGAGGAAGAACTTCCTGACTGTGAGAGCCGTTCAGCAGTGGAACTCTCTGCCCCAGAGTGTGGTGGAGGCTCCTTCTTTGGAAGCTTTTTAAACAGAGGCTGGATGGCCATCTGTCAGGGGTGATTTGAATGCAATCCTGCTTCTTGGCAGGGGGTTGGACTGGATGGCCCATGAGGTCTCTTCCAACTCTTTGATTATATGATTCTAAGTCCATTCTTGTAGCAACATGAGATTCCTTCTCCTCACTTCTGCTTTTCTCCAAAATGTACCATTCTACATGGAATCATTGCATTCCTTTATGGTGTTCAGATATGGAGAGAAAGTGTGAGTTTTGCATTGTTTTTGCAGCTTCCCAGACCTGCTTTGTTCCACATCTGGTGCCAAGATCGTGAGGATTCCCAACTCGATTTCTTAAAATAGCCATTAATTATGCTATTAAAAAGCGATCCTCATCTGTCAACGGCAATCCCATCTTGGAAAAACGACACCGACTGCTTAAAAAAGAAAATATCTCCCTGAATTTAGACGAGTTGCATTGGTTTCAACGGCAAAGGGAGGGAGCGTTGCAAAGGACAAAGTGCTAGAGCAGGCCTTCTCCACCTTCCGAATGTCGTGATCCCTTAATACTTTTCCTCATGTTGTGGTGACCCCCCAACCATAACATTATTTTCGTTGCTACTTCAAAACTGTAATTTTGCTACTGTTACGAATCGTCATGTAAATACCTGATATGCAGGATGTATTTTCATTCACTGGACCAAATTAGGCGCAAATACCCGAAAAGCCCAAATCTGAATACTGGTGGGGTTGGGAAAGGATTGAGTTTGTCATTTGGAAGTTGTAGTTGTTGGGATTTATTTTGAATACTGGTGGGGTCGGAGGTGATTGTTTTTGTCATTTGGAAGTTGTAGTTGCTGGGATTTATAGTTCACCTACAATCAAAGAGCATTCTGAACTCCATCAATGATGGAATTGAACCAAACTTGGCACACAGGACTCCCATGACCAACAGAAAATACTGGAAGAGTTTGGTGGGCATTGACTTTGAGTTTGGAGTTGTAGTTCACCTACATCCAGAGAGCATTGTGGACTCAAGCCATGATGGCTCTGGACCAAACTTGACACGCGTACTCAATATGCCCAGATGTGAACACTTGTGGAGTTTGGGGGAAATAGACCTTGATATTTGCTGGGATTTATAGTTCACCTACAATCAAATTGCATTCTGAACTCCACCAATGATGGAATTGAACCCAACTTGGCACATAGAATTCCCATGACGGACAGAAAATATTGGAAGGGATTGGTGGGCATTGACCTTGAGTTTGAGAGTTGTAGTTCTGCATCCAGAGAGCACCGTGGACACAACAATGATTTATCTACACCAAACTTGGCACATACTCAATATGCCCAAATGTGAACACTGGTGGAGTTTGGGGGAAATAAACCTTGATATTTGGGAGTTGTTGTTGCTGGGATTTATAGTTCATTACAATCAAAGAACATTCTGAACTCCACCAATGATGGAATTGGCTTAAACTTCCGCACATAGAATTCCCATGACGGACAGAAAATACTGGAAGGGTTTGGTGGGCATTGACCTTGAGTTTGAGAGTTGTAGTTCTACATCCAGAGAGCACTGTGGACACAAACAATGATGGATCTGGACCAAACTTGACACAAATTCTTAATATGCCCAAATGTGAACATTGCTGGAGTTTGGGAGAAATAGACCTTGACATTTGGGAGTTGTAGCTGCTGTTTATTTGCGACATTTATATGCCGCCCTTCTCACCCCGAAGGGGACTCAGTGCGGCTTACAAGATATATATAATATGTTGTGTGCGTGTGTATATACACATACATACATACACACACACACATACAATACATTATACCATGAGCAGAGTACAATATCAGCGCTATACATCACTATATTGTACTTATAATAATAATAATTTAATAATAATATAATCTAACACTAGCTATTATTATTGTTATTATTATTATAGTCCTAGATACTTGGACATATTTTTTATATATATATATATATATATATATATATATATATATATGTATAAAATATTTGGTGGGCAGTGTCCTTTGAGTTTGGTAGTTGTAGTTCACCTACATCCAGAGAGCACTGTGGACTCAAACAATGATGAATCTGGACCTAACTTGGCACAAATCCTCAATATGCCCAAATGTGAACACTGGTGGAGTTTGGGGAAAATAGATCCTTGACATTTGGAAGTTGTGGTTGCTGAGATTGTAGTTCACCTACAATCACAGAGCATTCTGAACCCCACCAGCAATAAAATTGGGCCAAACCGCCCACACAGAACCCCCATGACCACCAGAGTGGGCCACAGCAACGCGTGGCAGGGGACAGCTAGTATGCAAATACAAAAGAAGGTGGCAGCGTCTCTCCTGGTTTGATCCTTGTGGAAAACACATCCCAGGCTCTCAAGGGGATTTCCAGTTCACATGCGTTTTGTTGTTTCTGGTGCGCCTTGCCACCTGCCTACAAGAATTGTCTGCACATTTCTCCAGGAATGCAGGTGTGGCCGGGACTTCTAGTCCTTTTTGCTTGCACCGATTCCAGTGGCTCCCCTTTGAGTCTCTCCCAAGAATGATTGACGCAACCGCAAAGCAATGAAACATTGATCCCTGTGGCGATGCGGCTGTGAACATTACGCGCTTTTGGAGGAACGAAACTCTTTTCTTCCTCATTCCAGGGATTCTAGATTGGTTTGCTTGCCTAAGAACCAACCATATGGCAACTAGGATTGCATCTATCTATCTACATACAGAATGAGTGCAGATTGGCACTACTTGAACTTTTTTTGTGTGTGTGTCAGGAGTGACTTGAAAAACTGCAAGTTGCTTCTGGTGTGAGAGAACTGGCTGTCTGCAAGGACGTTGCCCAGGGGACGCCAGGATGTTTTTACCATCCTTGTGGGAGGCTTCTCTCATGTCTCCGCATAAGGAGCTGGAGCTGACAGAGGGAGCTCATCTGCGCTCTCCCCGGATTCGAACCTGCGACCCGTTGGTCTTCAGTCCTGCCAGCACAGGGGTTTAACCCACTGCGTGTCCGGGGGCTCCTTGAACTAACTGCCGAGTATTTATTACGGAATCGTGGAAATTGTAGTTTTACAAGGTCTGCTCTTTGTACTTGTAATTGTGAATACTCTGTGCATTGGGTCACTTTTTGGGTGCTTCCTCCCACTGCTACGGAATTGTGGAAATTGTAGTTTTACAAGGTCTGCTCTTTGTACTTGTAATTGTGAATACTCTGTGCATTGAGTCACTCTTTGGGTGCCTCCTCCCACTGCTACGGAATTGTGGAAACTGTAGTTTTACAAGGTCTGCCCTTTGTACTTGTAATTGCAAATACTCTGTGCATTAGATCACTCTTTGGGTACCTCCTCCCACTGCTACAGAATTGTGGAAATTGTAGTTTTACAAGGTCTGCTCTTTGTACTTGTAATTGTGAATACTCTGTGCATTGGGTCACTCTTTGGGTGCCTCCTCCCACTGCTACGGAATTGTGGAAATTGTAGTTTTACAAGGTCTGCTCTTTGTACTTGTAATTGTGAATACTCTGTGCATTGGGTCACTCTTTGGGTGCCTCCTCCCACTGCTAAGGAATTGTGGAAATTGTAGTTTTACAAGGTCTGCCCTTTGTACTTGTTATTGTGAATACTCTGTGCATTGGGTCACTCTTTGGGTGCCTCCTCCCACTGCTACGGAATTGTGGAAATTGTAGTTTTACAAGGTCTGCCCTTTGTACTTTGTTATTGTGAATGCCGTGTACATTGGCTCACTCTTTGGGTGCATCCTATACTATAGCATGAAGTTTTGTGAGACCCCAGAACTCTTTGGCAGAGAAGGCTAAAGACCTTGGGAAGCTACAACTCCCAGGGTTGCATTGCATTGAGCCACTGTCGCCTCAACAGATTCTGGGTTTTTGCATCCAACATCCCAAGGTTTTGCAACATGATATGCGCTTATCACATGGACAGAGACCCAATTGCATGCGCA